AAAAAAAAAAAAAAGAAGAAAGAAAGGCCTGGGGATGTAGCTCAGTAAGGGGTCTCATGTTCAGTACCCATCACTGCCTGTGGTTCTCTAGTGTGGCCCTCAGCTCTACCCGCTGCCACCTACCCTCTGTCACACATCCTTATTATTTTCTTCAGGGTATTTAACACAGTCTGTCAGTATTGGAGAGAGAGAGAGAGAGAGAGAGAGAACTTGTATTTGTGTGTTTGGCTAACCATGGCTGGTATGTTCCCTTCTATGTCCTGCTGCCTGCTACAAATCTGGTCCATGATAGATATTCAATAAATACTAGACAAATAGATGAAAACATAAATGGATGGACTAAATAAAGAAACCTGAGTTTCAAGAACACCATTTCCACCAAGTGCTGTGACATACACCTGTGATCCCAGCAACTCAGGAGGCTAAGGCAGGAGGATCACAAGTGCAAAGCCAGACTTAGCAACTTAGCAAGCCCCTGTCTCAAAATAAAAAAATAAAGGGCTGGAGTAGTAGCAAATACTCAGTGGCAGAGTATTTGCCTAGCAGGTGTGAGGACTGGGTTAGATCCTTAGCACCACATAAAAATAAAAAAGTGAAGGCATGCTGTCCATCTACAACTACACAAAAATTAAATAAAAATTTAAAAATAAAATAAGAAGAGCAGGGATGTAGCCCAGTGGTTAAGCACCCCTGGGTTCAATCTCCAGTAAACCCATGCCACTACCCCGCCACCCCCACCCTGCCAAAGAAAAACAACACCACTTCCTACTGGGAAACTGATGTGTCATTTATTTACAAAGCACATACCTAGTTTGTATATCAGCTCCACCACCTACTAGAGTTAACATTTTCTACTCTTTAAAGTTATCAGGATTAAATCAGTTAATACCACTGAAAATACCTTGGCCAGCAAACATTAGCCATTGTTACTATTGTTATGACTGCAAGCGTAAATCCAGCCTGGGTTAGGGAAGGACCTTAAAAGAACAGGTGGTTTCAACCTAGCATTTACTTTCATCTGCTGGCAAACGCATCCTTCAAAACCCGGCTGGAATATTAGCTCATATTTTTTCCCTCTAACTATTTATTAAACTTTTATTGAGCACCTTCTGTGGTCAGGCTGGTTGCAAGAGGTGCAGAAACAGGGGCAGCTTTCAGGGATAACACAAGATAACTGAGAATGAGGAAAGGAGGTAATGGGGCGAACAAGCATTGGCCATGCCATCGGAACAGAGGGCGCTCTGCTGAAAAGACAGGCAGTTCCCTTCCCCACCTCCCACCCAAATAAACCCAGCCTTCTTCTGGGAACTTGGCTGACAACAACGGGGATAAGGCCTTAATCATTCGGAAGCTCGGTGGGGGCCAGCCTTTTTTTTGGGGGGGGTACTAGGGATTAAATCCAAGGGAGCTTTACCACTGAGCTACAAACCCAACCCTTTTTGTTTTGAGACTAGTTCTTCCTAAATTACTGAGGGTCTAAATTGCTGAGGCTGGCCTGGAATTTAGGATCCTCCTGCCTCAGCCTTCCCAATCTCTGGGATTACAGACGTGCCTCCCCACGCAGAGCTAACGGGACCAGCCCCTCATTTGTGCAGTTCTAAAAGGTCGCTAACTTGACCAAGGTGGGGCTGGGATTCCAAAGCCTCTTGCTCCGCCTCCCAAGCACTGGAAAGCCTGTGGAGAAATGTTTGCTGCTCTCTGGCGCCCCCACTTGGCGATCAAGGAAATGGACCTGCAAGAACCCACTCTACTGGCACCTAGGCAGGGGGCCCCTGCACCCCTGAAGACCCCGCCAAGGTGTCCTCTCGCTGGCTCTGCGCCGCACTCCTGCCGCACTGAGTTCTGTCATTTCACGCCGGGTCTAGTAGAACCTCGGACCCTGGCCGGTCACAGTCCTTTCCAGCCTATGCGTCCTCCCCTCTCCTCCAGGCGGAGTGGCCCCGGGGCAGAGCTGCGGACCCGCCGGTGAGGTTTAGGCTCCTGCTGCGCCGGAGGCAGCACCACCCTGATGGAGGTGGGCCGGAGCACTGCGGCGGAGCGACGCTCAGTGCGCTGCGCCGAAGGGGCGTCGCCAGCAGGTCACCAGAAGGACAACGAGTGTGGAATTCCAGGGGTGGGAGTGAGGGAAGAGGGAGAAGTGAAGAGAGGCGACAGGGGAGAGTGCAGAGGAAGCAAAACCCAGTCCGGCTGCCTGTCCTTCCAGGGTCAGCGACTCCTAGGGAAGGCCACAGCTGCGAGCAGCGCTCCAAGCGCTGGGCAGCAGGGGCTGCCGGCGCGTAGCTGGACTCCTTGCCAGCCCTCCCTGTTGGTTCTCCCCGCGCTGGGCACTCAAGACCCTCCCGGGCCCTAGCAGCTCCCCGTTCCAAAACCACTGGACGTCTGGTAGGGTCCGCGGTAGGAGGATGGAGGGACCTCCAGGGACCGGCCCCGCAACCGTGAGGGCCGCAGCTGCGGACTTGCGCTGTCCTTGCAGATGTCGGGAGCTATCTTCACGCCCCTAGAGGGCCTAGGCGACCTGGACACCGCGAGCGGCCACCCGCTCGTGTGCCCTCTGTGCCACGCGCAGTACGAGCGTCCGTGCCTGCTGGAATGCTTCCACGACTTCTGTGCCGGCTGCCTTCGTGGTCGGGCTGTGGACGGCCGCCTGGCCTGCCCGCTGTGTCAGTGAGTGCCCCAAATCATCCGCGAAGGGAAAGGTTGGCTCTTCCTGGAGGGGAAACCCAGGTGAAGGAGGGCGAGGCTAGAAGTGGCTGGGAGAGGTTGCACCCTGCCCTGGCCGCCTTTGGGCCAGAACTTGCAGACTCCCCCTCTACACATTTTAGAAATCAGAATAATTGAGGCAGGGAAAGAATCATTTCTGAGCCCAGAGTTTCCACAGAAAGTCAGGAAGCAAGGTCAGGGCTGGAGGAGGGGTCAGGACACTTCCAGTAACTATCTTTGTGGTCTCACAAGTCTTAGGTCAACATAACCCTTAAGTTGGCTCAAGTTACTGGGCTGTGCCCTAAATTTGCCCAGTGCCTTCAGAGGGTCCTCGTGGCCTGAAGTGGCTTTTTATGGTGGTGGGGACCCCATGGTATTTGCAGGATGGCCCAAGGGTGGGGGCTGGGTTAGGGTAAGAGCTACCTGCTGTATTTACAGCAGACGTCAGGCCGAAGTACACCCCACCCCACCTCCTGCTGCAGCTGTTTATAGCTCCATCCTGGAATGTGAGGGGGGAGGTGGGAGAGCATCCTGGAAGGGGTGCTGGGTCTTGGCTGCAGCCTCTCCACAGACACCAGACCGTGGTGAAGGGTCCCAATTGGCTCCCACCAGTGGACCGGCTGCTGCAGTTCCTCATGGACAGCTCCAGGGATGGCGTGGAGGCTGTGCATTGTGCCAACTGTGACCTGGAGTGCAGCAAGCAGGCAGGGGCCACAGGGGTTGGGGGGTGGGGGAGCAGTGGGTGCCCGGGTGCTTGGTCCTTGAAACATACACCCAGCACATTCTCAGAGGACAGACCACCAGTAGGTGCTCCAACCCCCCCCACCTTGGACCTGGAATAGGGTCCATTTACAATAGGGAGACTGAGTTCACAACAAGGGAGCTGAATGAATAGCCCATAGTGGCAAAGGTTGAGGTCATTCCGTTTGAGGAGAGCTTACAGGTCCCCAATTCAGTGGAGTTGTGAACTGGTACAGAAGGGTGGTCCAGTTCACAGGCCTGTGGTACCCTGAGGACAGTAAGCAGTTTGGAAGGGATAGTTGGCAAGGGACGTTTCTGCCCTACCCCAACCGACAGAGCTGGAGGCCAGCTTCTAGCCAAACTGAAAAGGGTCCTGAGAGTCTGGCCTGTGGAGGCTGGACAGCCCTGAAGGGGAGCAAGCTCAGCCTTCTAGGAGTGAAATCCCAGGGCATGCTGGGCAAGGGCTGCGATCTGTGTGACCCAGAAGTGCAGGTGATGGGAGGGAGGTGAGAGAATGGGGACAGGCAGAGCCTGGGAGGATATGGCCTTGAATGCCAAGGTAGGAGTGGGGATTTGTTCTGTCATAGCCGTCCCTGAGTCCACTGCCAGGACTGCAACCCAAACCCTGGACACAGCCCTGGGCTGGGGGTGGGGGCTGGGGGTGGGGTGCCTGCCCTCCCCTCCCCCACTAACTATAACTCCAGAAGGCCAAGGTGTGTTCTACCACTTCACCACTATTGAGGGAGTCAAGGGGGGCTTGTAAGGTCAAAGCCCGCCCCGCCATCTTCCTTGTAAAATATTTTACAATGCACTTTCTGCCCTCCCCCACCCACCCTGCCACGGAACTACCTCTGGGAGCCTCTTCTACCTGCTCCTTCTTGCACCTACCTGCTTACTTAGCCTCTGAGCCTCAGTGTCCTCATCTGGGACCTGGGTGTATTAGGTAGACTGCTGTGTGGGAATCACAAGAAAGGGCTGCATTTAGCCTCGCATCTGCCCCAGGCTGGGACCGATGCTAGCGGTGTCTCTCTGCGGCTGTGGTTCCCTCGCTGGCCACAGTCCGCAGTCGGCTAGAGCGCTCCGTCTGAACCAGCGCTGGCCCCCAGGACGCCGAGACCACGTACTTCTGCAACACTTGCGAGCAACCCCTGTGTGCGCGCTGCCGCGACGAGACGCACCGGGCACGCATGTTCGCGCGCCACGACATTGTGGCCCTAGGCCAGCGCAGCCGCGACGTGATCCAGAAGTGCAGTAAGCGAGGCACGACCTGGGGACCCCGGGCAGGGGTGGGGTGGGGTGGGGTGGGAGGCGGGCACCGCCCAGAGCGCTCAGCCTCTGCCCCGCCCCCGCAGCGCTGCACGCGGAGCCCTACATCATGTTCTCCACCGACAAGAAGTCGCTGTTGTGCATCCGCTGTTTCCGGGATATGCAGGGGTGGGTAGCGGGCGGGGGGCTTCCCTCCTGGGCCGGGGTGGCCAGAGCAGGTGTGATTCGCTGCCTTCCGCAGGGAGAGTCGAGCCCACTGCGTGGACCTGGAGTCGGCTTACGTGCAAGGCTGCGAGCGGCTGGAGCAGGCCGTCCTGGTGAGCGGGGCTCAGTGGCCCACGCGAGGGGGGAGCGTGCGAACGTGGGGGTGTTAAGAGGCTGAGGCCCCCTCTCCCCAGGCCGTGAAGGCCCTGCAGACAGCCACCCGGGAGGCCATTGCGCTGCTGCAGGTCATGGTGGAGGAGGTGAGGCGCAGCGCAGCTGAGGAAGATGCCGCCATCCACACCCTCTTTGGCAGCATGCAGGTGAGGGATGGAGGAGGACTGGCCGGTGGCTGCCACCGCCTTATAGCCCCATCAGCCCCAAGCAGTTGCCCACAACACGGAGAGGCCCTGGATTCACTTGTAGAGTTGTCATCAAAGCAGGGCAGCAGGGCTTGAACTTCTCTTCTAGGAGCTAATCACAGTTGCCTGGAAAGTTCCAGAGGGACACCAGGGTTTGCCCTAGGCTGGTGGTAGTGGTGGGGAGTGGTCTAGGAAGATTGCACCCAGGAGGTGACATTTAAGGTGAGGGTACTTGGGCTCTCAGCCAGTGGGTGGAGAGATAACCAGTCTTCACTATCCAGACCACAGGGCAGGGAGGGGGTGAATCAGCCAGGTGAGTGGTGGGCTGTCTCCCCCAGGACAAACTGGCAGAGAGGAAAGCACTGCTGCTACAGGCTGTGCAGAGGTGAGTGGTGGCAGTCCCCTCACAACCTGGCCTCCATATACCCAGCTCCAAGCCTGGGCCTTTGCAGGCTTTACCCTAACTGGGGAGCAAAACATCCAGGTGTCCACCAGCAAAGGAGAGTGGGTGCTCAGGACACAGGGAAGGACCTACGGAGCTGGAGGGGTGATGACACTGCAGGTTCTGGGACCCTTGAGGTGGGGTGGTCAGCTGTCCTGTCGGAGACTAGGCAGTGTGCCCTTCCCCAGCCAATACGATGAGAAAGACAAGGCCTTCAAGGAGCAGCTCTCCCACTTGGCTGCTCTGCTGCCCACTCTACAGGTAAGGGAAAGGCTGCGGGGTCAGGCGCTGGGGCATAGAGGGCCCCTCCTCCCTTGGCCAGCCACCAGGCATCTTCCCCTTTGGCAGGTTCACCTGGTCATCTGCTCTTCCTTCCTCAGCTTGGCCAACAAGGCTGAGTTCCTGGACCTGGGCTATGTGAGTCTCCCAGTTCCCCAGTCTCCCCTTCCCCACCAGAGCCAGTCCTGCCACCTGCAGGCTGGGCTTGCCTCTCCCTCCTCCACTCTGTCATCCACCAACCCTTTAGGGGCCAGGCGAGTCTCTTTTAACAGGACAATGATGCTGGACATGTGGTGCACACCTGTAATCCCAACAACTCAGGAGGCTGAGGCAGGAGGACTGTAAATTCCAGGCCATCCTATGCAGTTCAGTGAAACCCTCTAAAAAGACTAGACTGGAGGTGTAGCTCCCTGGTGGAGTACCCTGAGTTCAATCTCCAGCATCCCCAATAAATAAATAAATATCTGCTGGAGCCCTGCTACCTTCTTTCCTATGGATTTGGTGGAAGAGTTGTCTGGGCCAATCCCAGAATAGGGTTGGGGTCTCATAGGACATCAGGCAATATGCTAAAGTCCCTCCACCTCCCCTCTTCCTGCCGGCTGGCGGCCCCCTCCCTGCCACACCGGCTCAGCCTGAGCCCCCTCCCGGCTCCCGCCATAGGAGCTGATGGAGAGGCTGCAGAGCATAGTCACAGGGCCGCATCGCCTAAGACCAGCGCAGAGCAGCAAGGTGGGCACGTGGTTCTACTGGGCCTGGGTGGGAGTGGGTATCCCTCAGGGAAGGGGAGGTCACCTCATGACAGTTCTGCCACCCAGATCGCCAGCGACCACCATGCAGAATTCGCACACTGCCTGGAGCCACTGCTGCTGCTGGGGCCACGCCCGGCTGCGTCTGCCGCCAATACGTGAGCATGACCTAGGGAGCTGGTGCCTGGTCTCCAGCACCAGCACCAGCACCCAGCGACTAGATTGTCAGTGAAAGGCTTTGCACGCTCCTTGCCTCCTCAGTCCTCTCAGTTAGGTCGGCTCTCCGCTGGGTGTCTAGGTGCCATGGACCCTCCACGCAGGAGGGCTATTAGAATAGATGGGA